CGCGCGCCCCGGGGGCCGCGCCCTGCAGGCGCGCCGTCCAGCGCCCCTTCTTCATTTTTTAATCAAGGGAGGAAAAAAACATGCTCCAGACCAAAGGTCGTGGAACTTGGTGTCGCCGGGTGTTCGCTGATGAAGTGTCCTCACTCGTCACGCCGCACGCTGGGAAGTTGGGTCTCTGGGTGGGCCACCCTGCGACTTCACGTGGGGTAGTCAGGGATGGCGCTGGGGCAATTAGGAAGCATAACCCAGTCCTCCAGAGCGAGCCGGCCCGCAGCCTGCGGCAGCAGCCCTGCAGAGCGAGTGGGGGCGGTGAGGGCTGATCGGCAAGATGGTGAAAAGCCATCTCTCCACCGAGGAGTGACAGGAGGGGTGTTGGCTGCGCGGAGGGGGACGACGGCAGGAAGGCTCTTAGGTCATTTCTCAATGCAGTGAGGTACCTCCAGGTTTGGCAATCAGCATTTTTTTTTTTTTACAACATCTGCACTAGGTGTGTGTGTGTGTGTGTGTGTGTGTGTGTGTGTGTATTTGCGTGCACACGCACAGATATCATATGCGTGTTAAATACGTGCAGGGAATATTTATATTTGAGCAACTTTCCCCCATCTTGTCCAATTTCGGTTTCACTCTTTGTTTAGGTGTCTTCTGACTTTTGGGGGGGAATGTCTTTGAAATTCCAAAAGCGAATCTGCAGTAATCAGATGTTGTGAAATTATTTTTCATTCTTCCTGTCAAACTTTAAGAATCTTTGCCATGTGTATGCGACTTCTTGTCAACATTGGCATTATCTCCCGTTTCTGCGTTTCCCTCGTTCCTCTGTTGCCCTGGGTTATAGAGAGGGAGGAGTAGAATTTAATAAGGAGAGGTCTGGGGAGGCTCAGGCTCCAGTGAGTGCTGAGTGTGACAGGGTGCTCTTTCCAGGGTTCAACAGAGGTAGGAAATAATTAGCTGCCTTAGTGGGTAAATGTATGCTCATCATCCCATCAATTTCAATTGATTTGTAGTCTTGGGCAGGGGACAGCTCGGTGGCCCTGGCTTCCATCTCCAGTGCCACCTACACACACAGTCTTGTGCATGCTCCATCTACATGCCCCATCTTTTGTGGTGTTTTCTTATTAGCTGTGTGTGATATGTAAATTTGGTTTCAAAGAGAGAACATTTCATATCATTTCTTAAAGGAATGCCTATGCATTTTCTATCTCCTTTCATTTCCCCCTCTCTTTTCAAGTCTTTTTTTTTTCCTTACGGGAGATAAAAAATAATTAAAGTCTGATGTTTGGGGAGGATTCCAGTGTGAGGCCTGAGGAAGGTAACTTCTGGATGTACATCCCTAAGAGTAAACACTCCCCTACGCTGTCACCTGAGTCCTGTCCTTGCAAAGGTTCTTTAAGCCCAGGTGTTCCTTCTTTTGTAAGATCTTAGGTAGGTGCTTTGAATAAACAAGGCCCACTTTTGGTATCGAATGACGTGAGATTCTGCATACCTGCTGTCACCAGGCAGGCTCAAGGGTGACAGTCCTCATCCTTTCACCCAGGCAGAGCCTCCCCCTCGGTCCCCACCCTCCAGCCACAGGCACTGGACAGGTGCTGGTTCAGACCTAGGGTCCTAGAAGTGCTTCAGAGGCTCCCTCTGTCTCTTCCTGGGCACGGACTTTGCCTTGTTCTCTGAGCCCAGGCACTAGTGTCCCAAGGGAGCCTGTTGGCCTCTTGTGCATGCTTGTCTGTGGGACTGGGTTTCTGATCGGATTTCCACTTGGTTTTTGTGCCAGGACTAGGTCCTGGTCTTGAAACCCAGTTCCAGTGGCCTTAAAAAGCCGTGTGGTGTTTATCAGCCTGTCTTGCCAGGTGAGTGGTGTTAGCAGACCCAGGTCTGGGGAATTCCTGCTCGGAAGCCAATACTTGGGAGCTGAGTTGATGGGAAGAAATCAGTTTATTCAAGGCCTGGCTCCTGAGAAGATGGACAAGACTATGGTCAGGTGCTCAGACACACCAAAGGACTTTCTCGGGAGATGTTGTGGACATTGGGCAAGACGATGCATATTAAGGGGGTCTTCATTATCCAGGGTCTGTTTTCTCTTCTGCTGGAATATCTTATGATAATCACTTGACTTTTGTATCCTAGGCCAGCCCCTATACTCTTTTAGGGAAACATGTTATTTCCCCGAAAGTTAAACATTATTCCACTTTTAATTGAAGAACGGGATTACTGAGTCCTCGGAGGATCACGATCTGATGTCATCCGAAGACCCGTCAGATGTCCCAAGCTCTGAAAATGAAATAAAGATGACTGATTCGGAGGTCTTGGAACCAGTGTCTGTTTCCTTTTTCTGCAAGAGTTGACCCCAGCAGGTGGCATCGCAGCCATTCAAAGGTGGCTTTATTTGTAAAAGGGAACAACAAAGAAAAATGCTATGAGGAGCAATTTGCAAAGTTGAGCTGATCCAAAATAGGGTGGCACCACAGGGTTGCTGTGGACGATGACTAGGGTTGGTCTTCCTGGAACCCGACAGACCGTGGGCTGCCACACCCCTCCCTGACGGTCCTTGTTAGCCACCAGGAGCCTGTGGCATTGCTCCTGGTCCCACCCAGAATTAGGCAACTCAGCCGTGCAACTTCCTGTGGACACTGCTGCCGGTTGGATTTTCTCCTTTGTCCCTTTCTTCCTTCTGTGCCCTCCTGGCCCTCAGGAAGGGCGCCTCCCGGCCCTTCTAATGGCAGGCTCTTCGCCTTTGCCACCTGAGGATGGGGCTCCAGCAGCTTTGAGTCTGGCTGCCCCTGGGTTTTGACGACCCTTTACTTTGCCTGTGCAGGGAGGGGGTTCCTGGAGCCTGTGTCCCAAGGGAAGCCAAAGGTTAGGGGGATGACAGAGATTTTGACAAACTCGTGTGGCCTTCGGTGGAAAAGCAGGATCAGGAGACGGAGCAGCATGTAATGAGGCTCCGTGGATCAGTCGAGCGGGATTTTTGGTCTAATTCTGACCGCCATCCCGCGTCCTCAGTGGGAGACACAGAGCTAGAATTTGTTTTTTGAGTCTGAATTGGGTAAAGGAAAACTGATCATTTATTTTCTCATTCCCTAAATGTTCACGTCATAGTCAAGAGCTCAGGATCTGGAGTGGGATGCCTGGTTCAAATCCCGGGCCATCCGGGCTCTTGCTGTGTAACCTGGGACAGGTCACTTAATTTCTCCAGGCCTTGGTTCCTTAGTTTTCCTCCATTGAAGCTGAAGATACCAACAGCCTTTGTTTCATCGGGGTGGCTGTAGGATCAGGTGGTTCTGAGTACCTGCAGCCACGCAGCGGGGCTACCGAAGGCCTAGCCATTACTGCTGTTGGTACTTCCCTGCTGTTGTCCAAGCACTTCACTGTGCCGAATGATATTGCTTTTGAACAAGAAGAAGGTGTGAAAATGAAGACACAAACTAGTTTTATTGAACTAAACAAACAAATAACAAACAAACTTGGTTTTAAAAGCCTTTGCCAGAAAGATATGCCCAGGGCAATCGAGGCCCGGCAGAATGATCACCGGGAACACACTCAGGCTGGCCTCTCCGCTTCAGTCCCTGTCCCGTCATGAAGCGCAGCTTTTCCGTGCTTTCCGGAAGCCATTCCTTGGGGTTGCAACTCTGTCTCGGTTGCTTCTGAGGGTTTATCGTTTATTTATTCATTCTGCAGAGGTGTTTTGTCATTGGAACTCTGCGAGCTCCCTTTGAAAGCTTGTTCTGTGCCCTTGTCATCTCTTGTTTTGCCGATTTTGTGTTTACTACTTCTGGTAGTAAATCATTTATTGTGAACACTTTTCTTTGGGGGGGGGGGAGATTCAAAAGACACTCCCAGAGTTCACGCAAAGTCCAAGGACCATGCCACGCACTGGAATCCCACGCAAGAGACTTATGGTCGGTAACAGGAGGCAAACCCACCAGGCTGTCCCTCCCATAGCCCGCAGGAGGAATCTCAAAAGCTGCTCAGGAGTCTAAGCTGGGAGGGGTCGATCCTTCAGCAGGCACTTTGGAACCTCTAGATAAAATGGATCCCGACCTCAAATGCTGAATCCGATGCCAGTATGATCTGGCGCCAATATTGATACTAGGGATTGCCAATAGGGATACTAGGGATTGAACCCAGGGGCACTGAGCCACACTTGCACCCTACTTTGTATTTTATTTAGACAGGGTCTCATTGAGTTGCTCAGCGCCTTGCCTTTGCTGAATCTGGCTTTGAACTCGCGATCCTCCTGCCTCAGCCTCCTGAGGTGCAGGGATTGTAGGTGTGTGCCGCCGCGCCCAGCTGCTGTGAACACTTTCAGTCCACTCTGGGAGTCTGGTTTTTCCCGGAGTGACTTCTTCATCTTGCACATTGCCGTGTGCTGCAGGCCTGCTCCCTCGCCTGTGCTCCTGGGCCGTGGAGGAGAATTTCCAGGCAGGGCCTGGAGGGAGAGGAGATCTTGTCCTTGGAGGACTTCTTGTCCCCGCCCTGCCCTCTCTCTCTGCTTCTCCTCTGCCACAGGCTGTCACTGTTGAGTTCTGCCTCACGCAGAAGCTGTGCAGCCTGCTGACCCTGGGCTGAGACCTCTGAGGCCATGCCGAGGTTCCATCTCACCCCAGTCAGAAGGGTGCTCATCAAGAACACAGGCGACAATACGTGTTGGCGAGGGTGTGGGGAAAAGGCACGCTCCTACCCTGCTGGTGGGACTGCAAACTGTCACCACTCTGGAAAACAGTATGGAGAGTCCTTGGAAAACTCGGAATGGAACCACCATTTGACCCAGCTATCCCACTCCTTGGTCTATACCCAGAGGATGTAAAATCAGCAGTGATGCAGCCCACATCAATATTTATAGCACTTCAGTTCACAGTAGCTAAGTTCTGGAACCAACTTCTGTGCCCTTCAGCAGATGAATGGATAAGGAAAATGTGGTTCATGACGGAATATTACTCAGCCTTAAAGAAGAATGAAGTCATGGCATTTGCTGCTAAATGGCTGGAGCTGGAGACTGTCTTGCTAAGTGAAATAAACCACTCCCCCCCCAAACCAAAGGTGGATGCTAATTCACAATAAGGTGGGGAGGGGAGGGAAGAACAGAAGATCATTGGATTAGACAAAGGAGAATGAAGGGAAGGGAGGGGGATGAGAATAGGAAAGACAGTGGAATGAACTGGACATTATTTTCCTGTGTTCCTAAATGAATATATTACGAGTGAAACTCCGTGAACAAACACAAGAATGGGATCCTAATTAGAGTAAGCTATACTCCATGTGTGTGTGGGTGTGTCAAAATACACTCTGTTGCTGTGTATATCTAAAAAGAATAAATTAACAAAAGCCCCAAACCCAAATGTCCCCTTGTAAGCTGATTTTGTGTGGTGTTTTGTCACAGCCCCAGGAAGCTGACTGACACCTGCCTCTCTGGGGTCTTTCTGCATATGTGCTCAGCTCTCTGCTGGATATA